CGCTTTATTATTGAGTATCGGACGCCCTGTATATTACGTTGTATTACATATTGTATTCTCGTTTATGCATTAGGTAAAATCCATCCATAATCTGCAAATGCACAGCGCCGTTTTCACTCGGACCATTACGCACCCGAATTTATTAGACACCCTCGAGGATATCATGGATACCAAGAACATATTGTTGCATCATACTAAGGCGCATATAAAGCCACCGGAGAAAGGTGCGCCTTACTTGATGCATCAAGACTATCATTACTTTCCCCACAAGAAACACACTATGCTTGCTGTGTTTTTACATTTGGACGATACAACACCGGAAAACGGTGGCTTGGCGGTATATCCCAGCAGTCATAAGCTTGGACCGTTGGAGGACCACGGATTGACCGATGAGAAAGGTGACCAATATCATTACGTCGATCCTGAGAAATATCCATTGTCCCAAGCTGTTCCTGTGTCTGCCAAAAAGGGTGACATTATCATCTTCTCTTATCTGTTGCTTCATGGTTCGTATCTGAACTTGTCCGACAGAAGTCGACGCATGTTTCTTATACAAGTGAGAGCCGCCGACGACGAGCCGACCAAGGACATACACAACTCTCCTTGCCAGGGTCTCATGCTGCGCGGAAAAAATATCAAGAAGGACGCAATGTACGAGAACAGATATGAATATTAATCTAATACACGGCGAATCCGAGACGCAAGCGAATATTTACTCTACTTTTAAATCTGGTTGAATGAATGAATAAAAAAAAAGAAGTGTTTGATTAAGTTTTATTATGTACACATATATAGTTACGTTTAATTTTTTTTCTATTCGATGATTTTCCTACTGCTATTTCCTATTCGTACTTCAGTTTTATTTTGATCTTGCATAATTTTTGAAATTTTTCTGAATCACCGCCTGTCGTGGAACGCACGCGGAAGTAAATATAAGTCGTAAATTTTGTTTGTCCAACTCCATGTCAACATCTGTGACATGATCTTGAAGCAGCACAAGAGATATCTCGATGAATAGATTCATAAATTATTTTAAAAGCGCATATCTGACACATAAATCACATTTATATCAAGAGTGTAAAGAGACATCATATAATCATTACGAGATAACGTAGTTCCTTTAAAAGACTAATTAGCATAATAAATATTTAATTATCACACGCGTTTTGTGTACGCCAAAATGAAAGTATTTATCAAATGTTTCCTTTTTTTTTTATTCGATTTTACGAGAGCGATCGATTTACGATTCCGACCGTGCGAGAGGAAAGGTCCGGTGAAGTAAAATTATCAATGATAGTGTTGTCAGTATCGTTTAACTGAATGGTGACGTCGTAAAGATGCTTGTCCAATCTGCTCCGAATGTCGTCTGCAGGGACGAATTGACGTTTCCTACTGAAAAAGCGAGCGTCTCTCTACAAACGGGGATTGCGAAAAAATAAATTGCGCAAAAATATATATATAT